GCCCCCCACCCGGGGACAGGGCCCCCCGGTGTCGCCTTGGCCACCTTCGCTTCTCCAGGGTGGTTTTGCTGCAGTTTTGCTGGAATCGGAGACTTTCACTGCTAGGCAGGGAGGATCTGCCACAGTAATTAGAAGCCATAATCCGGCCACCACCCACAACAAATTTCCTGTCCGAGCAGATATTAGTGGATAAAACCCTAATTTTTGACGTTGTCCCAGAATCAGCTTGATTTCAGCAGTTTACGTTCAGGCTGAGCTGTTGGGAGAGATGATGAAGCCTTAAATATGCATATGGCCTAGGCATTTGGAAAGTTTGGGGATAAAGCGCGTATAATTGCTCCTAATCAGTTTATGAAACATAAAAGCTCAAACCCAAGAGAAAGCCGATAGATGCAGAAATGGAAATAGCGATTAAATCTCCCCGTGCTGGCGAGGTGGCCTGGATACGGCGCTGCTGCCCGGGGCGGAGGGCGGCCACGGCGGTGCTGTGGGGGACGGGAGATGCGTCCGCTCCTGGGACGGGGCTGCGGGACGGGGTGGGGGGACACGCCTGTTGCCGCCGCCGGCTCCCCTGGCCGTGGTGGAGAGGGGCATCTCCACCAGTCCTTTGGACAATAAATCAGTTAAAGGATATCTTGATATATGCTCATCAGATAGGATTAGCTGGGATTAGACTAATCAGTAAATGTTTCTCTGCTCATTATTTTCCAGGGAAGATTTTCAGCTGATTCTCCGACGCCGAAAGATTATTAATCGCTTAAAGAGCAGAACATCAAACATCGTCCCTTGCTCTAATTTCCCCGGGGCCCCCCCCCCCCCCCCCCCGGGGGCGGGGCGCCGGCCCCAGCCGGCCCGGCAGCCCCAGGGTACCCCAGCACCCAGCCCCTCCACAGGGGCTCTGGCCAGGGCAGACAGAGGCCACAGCACCGCGGCCCCAGTGCAGACCCATGTCCTAGGGGTGGGTGCTGCCCGCAGCTGATGCTGGAGCACCCCTGACCCCTGCACTCTGCTCCCCGCTGCACTTTGCAGGACTGGGGACACAGCGAGGTGGGACAGTCCCCAAGGTGTCCCCTCCTCCCTGTGGCTGATCCAGCACCAGGTCAGGCACCCACTGTGCCCTGCAGCACCCTATGGGATGGCATCGTGAGGGCACACAGGATGGGACGGGTGCCCGGGGCTGTCCCCTTCAGACACCGGGGACAAGCCTTGCAAGTCCTTGGGGGATTACAGAGACATGCAACGTTTTGGCAGACCCTCCTCAGCCAATGACGGCTCCCAAGCCAGTGGCTGGTGGGTTTTTGGGGCCCCTGTCTTTGCAGGGACATGAAACTCGGGGAAACCCCAGAAGGATGTGCATTCACCTTGCAATCACCTGCTGTAGCGATGAGGAGGGGGAAGCAAGGAGAAGGTATTGAAGGGCCTGGTTTAGGGGATTAGTAATGGGATAAGACAGCTTTCACCTCCCTGGTTTGGATATGAATCAGGTCAATAATAAAGGACCATCTGACAGTTTCAGGCAGCTCGGGGTGGCAGAGGCTCCCATGCTCCAGGCTGGACAGAGAACCCCTCTCTGAAAGCCCAGCTCCTGCCGCACACCCACCCGTTGGACCCGCACTGGCACTCACAGCCCGGTGCTCCCCGCCTGCTCCGTGCCACGCACCTGCATCAGCTCCTGGCCACCTGGTGTGGGGGCAAGGTTGGAGCCTGGTCCCCAGGGACGATGTTGAAGCCATAGCCCTCAGGTGCCTGCTCTGCAGGGCAAGTTCAGCCAGCCGGCTGGTGGCCATGGCGTGGGTATAAGGTGGCTCAGCAGTGGAGCGCAGCAGGGCGAGCAGCCAGCCAACGCCAACACAGACAATTTGGCAAGGGTGGGAGCCTGGGGGGAAGGTCCCTGCCTCAGTAAGCATGGACAGAAGGAGAAGGGCTTTTCTTCCACCTCCTCAGTGTCCTGCTGGGAGCACAGGGAAGTGATGACTGTTGTGACAACGTTGCCTCTGACACACAGGTGAAAAGAAACTGAGAAATAGCCCATCGCTAGGGGAGAAGGCAGCAAAGAGGGGCGCGTTGCAGTGAGGCACGTCCATATTTCGCAAGGCTAAATCCCCACCTCTGAGTTACAGGTGGGCTTCCTCCTTGCGATGCGGGCGATGGGACTTTTCTCAGGCTGCAGCCAGGGCTGAGTGATGGGTTATGTGTGTGCTCCTGGCCAGTTAGGAGTAGATATATGTAACGGCCAAATATCCTCCATTTTGGGGTGATGTATTTGCAGGGGCAGTGGCATGGCCAGGTTAAATGAATGGGGAAATCTGCGCCCCCAGTGCTGCCGGGCTGCGGAAAGTGCTTCATTTCTAGCTCGAGTTTACATGGGTGAAGCAAAGGGTTTGCAGGGTGAGCGCAGCCACAGCTGGCCATGCACGCCACCTGCTTAGCGCTGTAGCATCGCCAGCCGAGCTTACTACAAGTGCATCGGCAACCCTAATTTGGCACCAGAGGGGGGTCCCTTTCCATGTCCCACTCCGCATGCCCCAGAGACATCCCTGCTAATTCCTCTGCACAGATTTCTGTCTTAAGGCATTTGCCTTTGATTAAAACCAGAAGAGCAGTCACGGTTTAAGTGGAGTTTAAGAGCAAACCATGTGCCGATGCACAGGGCTCTCACATCTGGAGTGCCACAGATTTAATCAAACTGCTGGGAAGTGCCGCACGCAGACAGCTGTCACAGCAGGCTGGAGCCCATCTCCTAATTAATTCCTAGCCAAACATAGGGCAAACAAATGACCATCAAGGTGCTACACCTACAACCGCGACCGGAGGCATGACTGGCAATCGGTGAGCAAGCAGAGCTCACCCCGTGTGTCTCCAGGTGCTATAGGTGACGTGGCCTGTGGAAAGCCCTGTCCCAGCTCCTAGGGAGGAGACTGGGGCTTGTCCCAGAGGTGTAAACCTTGAGGTGATATATGGGAACATGAGGGATGGGGTGTTCAGGGAGAAACCCAGACAGAGCAGGCACAACAGCTGTAGCTCTGATTTCTGGCTGCTCCTTCAGCTGGTGCTTTTTGCTTCGACTCCACTTTGCTGTTGTTTTCTAGTCCCGTTTACCTGCCCATCTCACATCCCATGGGCAACCCCCTCCTGTCCTATACAGGGTGTGTGCGCTGGGACACAG